ATTGATCGGTCATAGGCTGTAAGTAAGTGGAACAATATTCAAACTACCATACAGTGGCTGCACACGATGCCCATTGCCATTTCCAGAATATGCTGATATTCTTTAGACTAAACCTGGCACCTTATTTTATCCAAATTCTGCTGATTTGTTTGACTGATATCCAACATAGACATGTAATCAGTAAACCTGATGGTATGATGTCAGTAAACCTGATGGTATGATGTCAGTAAACCTGATGGTATGATGTCAGTAAACCTGATGGTATGATGTCAGTAAACCTGATGGTATGATGTCAGTAAACATGATGGTATGATGTCAGTAAACCTGATGGTATGTAATCAGTAAACCTGATGGTATGATGTCAGTAAACCTGATGGTATGATGTCGGTAAACCTGATGGTATGATGTCGGTAAACCTGATGGTATGATGTCGGTAAACCTGATGGTATGATGTCAGTAAACCTGATGGTATGTAATCTGTAAACCTGATGGTATGATGTCGGTAAACCTGATGGTATGATGTCGGTAAACCTGATGGTATGATGTCGGTAAACCTGATGGTATGATGTCGGTAAACCTGATGGTATGATGTCAGTAAACCTGATGGTGTTACGATATCCGATAGGACCCAAACGCAGGACACGGCAGAGTGTTGGAAAAAGGTTTATTGTGAGGTGGAGGAGCGTGGAGAGTAATCCGGTTGGAATGATGACTGGTGGCGGCAGGTGATGGTAACAAGGCGGCTGGATAGTGATCCTGGAGCATAAGAGAAACAGATGAGAAAAGTATTCCGTGTACAGAGAAATAGTTTTAAATCGGCTAAGAAGGCTGAGAGTTACCACTGGGGTTTAAACAACGATCTGGCGCTGACATGTTGTGGAGCCTCCGCTGATATACCATTAGTAAATGGCTGAATGGGAATCAGGTGTGTAAAGCTGATTGCACCAGGTGGAGATTTGCAGCAGGTGGAGATTGAGCCGGGAGCCAGGAGTGACAGCCACCACGCCCACACA